GCTGTCCCTCAGCTCTTCAGCTCAAGGCTAGCGCTCTACCACTTGAGCCACAGCACCACTTCCGGCTTTTTTTCTTTATGCTTATGTGGTGCTGAAGAATTGAACCCAGGGCCTCAGGCATGCAAGGCAAGTACTCTACCACTGAGCCACCTTCCCAGCCCTCCATGAGGCTCTTATCTCCAATTAACCACCAGAAAACCAGAAGTGAGGCTTGGCTCTAGTGGTACAGAGCTAGCCTTGAGCTGAAGAGCTGAGGGACATCGCCCAGACCCAGAGTTCAAGCCCCACAAACAACAAAAATAAGAAAGAAAGAAACCTGGCACTTCTTTGCAGACCCCTCTCCTGATAGAAAGTTTCTGCTACTTTCTTTCATGGCTTTCTTTTTCTTTCTTTCTTCTTTTTTTTTTTTGGGTCCAGTAGTGGGGCCTGAACTCTGGGCCTGGGCACTATCCCTCAGCTCTTCAGCTCAAGGCTAGCGCTCTACCACTTGAGCCACAGCGCCACCTCCGGCTTTTTTTTTCTTTTTGCTTATGTGGTGCTAAGGAATCGAACCCAGGGCCTCAGGCATGCAAGCCAAGCACTCTACCACTGAGCCACCTTCCCAGCCCTTTTTCTTTCTTTCTTTCCTTCCTTCCTTTCTCTCTTTCTTTCTTTCTCTCTTTCTTTCTTTCTCTCTTTCTTTTCTTTCTTTTTGTCAGTTGTGGGGCCTGAACTCAGGACCTGTGCACTGTCCCTAATCCTCTTTGTGCTCAAGGCTAGCACTCTACCACTTTAGCCATAGCACTACCTCTAGTTTTCTTTTTGTTGTTGTTTTGGTTTTTTTGCCAGTTCTGGAGCTTGAACTCTGAGCCTGGGCACTGTCCCAGACATTCTTTTGCTCAAGGCTAGCGCTCTATTGCTTGAGCCACAGAGCCACTTCCAGCTTTTTCTGTATAAGTGCTACTGCGGAATCAAACCCAGGGTTCATGCATGTGAGGTAAGCACTATACCACTGAGTCACATACCCAGACCCCACCTCCAGTTTTTGAGTGGTTAATTGGAGATAAGAGTCTCATGGGGGAAGTGGCGCTGTGGCTCAAGTAGTAGAGC